GAAGTAGCTCATCCATTGACGTCAAATTGGTCATCGGTGAGGCGACGATGAATTCACAGTGATCGCGTCCTCACCCTCCCTCCCAAAAATAAACAAACAAAATTTGACACCTTTCAAAGTCGCAAAAAGGAAATATTTAATAATCTCGTCTATTACATGCCGTACACGTGCATGATGACAACAACGCTTGACCAAAACGGGGTCTTATATGATCAGTCCAATCGAGTCGGAAGGATTTCTTCGGTGTGAACTCGCGAGTATTCCGTTTCATCTTAAGATCTTTTCTTTGTGATCCCTTTTAATGTAATGCCAAAATGTGCGACTGACCACCAACCGCAATGGACCATGCCAAAGTCGGCTACAAATGTTCACATGAAAAATTCAATGAACCTTTAAATTAACTGCTATCTGTGACTGCCACACGTGGCAGTGTGAATCTCCCGTTTCGGGTGACACCAAACTAAAACCTTGCCTTTGCCTGCGGGTTTTCCATGATAGGGTAGAAAGGGCGTGGATGTCACAATGTTCACATCACCATCACACGTATGGTCGTCGATTCAATAATGATTACATGCGTGTGTGTAATCTGTCTGATGGATAAAATTTAAATTATTCCGTTTGATCAATTTTTCTTTCAAAGAAAACTAACCACTTCCAACCTCCTTCTAATAATTGCCATTGTTCTTTGGGAGTTCTGTCATACATTCACTCATCGTAAAAATGGAAACGAGAAGGTTAATCCAATGGGATTTCATTGCACCTTCTTTTCGTGCTAGCCATAAAAAGTAAACCCCAATTTCCCGCGTGTGATTTTTCCGCCGAACGATAAGAATGACTGCTTGCCGGATGATTTTGTAATCATGGTGCACTTTTTGGAATAATGTATGGTTGGAAGTGAAAATAACCTGTCAAGTTGTCATTTCACCGATATAACCGGAAGGTGGCACCAAGATGTTGTAACCAATGACTAAGCAACAAAAAAATTACTAATTAACAGTATGAAGGTAGATGCCTTCCCTTTATGCAACCCATATTTGACGTATTTTGAGAGAAGTTATCATATGGTAACCAAGGAATTTTGTATACTGCACAGTACTGTGTATTGTATTATCTTTATTATTTCGGTTATTATTATGATCATTAATTATTTTATTATTATTTTTTGGGTTTCCCAGTTTAGTGAAAAGATTGCAGTCGATCGGTACATGAAATTGGCATCCAATCACTGTTGTAATTGAGTATGAGAATAAATCAGTTAGATAAGATGATCTCGGGGAACCAGTAAAAAAATCGCATCACCTCAACACACACGGGAGGCACATCGATGTTATATCGATGTGACGTGGATGGAGGTGAGTGTGAGATCCGATGAGTCGAGAGAGTCACTCGATCTGCAGAAAAAATTTTTTTTGGGTCGCAATGGAAATGACCCACCCGACTCACCACGCTGGATGTCATCAAAGTCCTCGGAATGCCACGTCTCGATGTATATGTTTTTTTTTTTTTTTCTTTGATGATTATACGCTCGAACGAGTGGTGGTGGTACACGCATACATACATACATGCACATACTGTGTCTGGGTAACTAAGGGTAAGCGGTAAGTGTACCCCACAAATATTTTTGTCGCCAACTACGTACCGGGATTTGGACGGTAAGAAAAGAGAATAAAGGAATAATGAAACAACGCTCATGACCAATTAAGTTAATCCCGCTCCATTATACGTCATAAAAGTAAGGTTTTCCGCACTCGTTCATTCGCTCATACACACAGTACATAATCGATCGATCGACCATCCCCGAGTAGGTAGCTTGTCGTCATGATAGCCCCAATGCGTATCAGGATAACAAATAATGGCGAAATTTTATTCTTCGTTGTTACATATTTGATGCATATTGATTGAGGAGAAAATATTTTCGTCATGATTCGCCTTCCCGAAAGGGCTCAAACAACAATGTAGCACACACTTGTGTGTGTCACGTCCGGTCACATGGTTTGACCGGTGGAGAGACCCATATTCCTAACGGGACATTATACACATAGGTACAATACATTTCACACGAGAAATCGTTGGTCGATTGGTTAATTGACGGAATGGACGAAAACCTTTTCTTTGTGCAAGAAGAGGAAATAATAATGACTCTCTGCGATTATTACGAGCGAGCGTGCAAGAGTGCATGCGTGCTTACGCTTGGTCGTAGCCATTTCACCTGGTTTAAAACAATGCTTGCGAGAATAAAGCTGCATTACTATGTAATGTGACGTCAGTTGAATGCGGGTTTGTAACTCGAGGCGGTTCTAATCCTGACGTCGCGTGGTTGGGTTAATCTCATTCTCCATTGTTCTCGCATCGAGTAATAAATAGACACTGGTCGCAATATTCGTTCTCCCTGACGACACAATGCAGGAGACAATGGCGCGTCCTTTCTAATTCATTCACTCGATATTCTCATACGTGCATCCTCTTTGAACACATGCATATCGTAGTTGTTAGTTGATTTATGCGCTGCATCCAATTTTTCCTTTTCATCTGCGCACATCTTTTCTTTTTCTTTGTTCCATCATCAAGCTATTAATCCGATGTTTCTTTGACTTGTCCCTTTCCAATGGTAATCGTGATCACGACAATAAACACTTTTTTACTTTTTTTTTTTTTTTTTTAACGTTCAATTTGGTTAGTTAAATGCCAATTCCATTGGTCGGGTTAATATGTATATGCGCATGTATGCGTGTGCATATTCTTCATTAATATTGAAATTAATTTCCCCAGGCACAACATAAAATGCATG